TGCGTTTTGAACCTATAATTTTACTCTTATTAATCGCTTAACCCTATTAGTGGCAGGGGGGGGGGGTAAAAGTTGTTTTTATCCACCCCTCAGGTTTTTCGGGAATTTCTCCGAAACCGCTGAAGCTACGATGCTGAAATTTTCTGACTTTTCCTAAAACTAAATTGGGCACATTCCCTGAAAATTTCAAGTTCATAACTTTACCAGGGGCGGCTCCAGAGCACTGGGAATTGGGGGGTCCTATTCGTGAAGCGAGTCATTTGGGCGAAGATCACGATGCTGATGTATTATAACTGTATGCACCAGTTTTACGAACAGTGAATGAAAGGTATCATGTGATAACATATACAGTTATTGTGCATCCTCTTTTGACACGTTTTTGCTATAATAGGCGGATCCAGGCGTCCAAAAAGGGGGGTTATGTTATAACTCCCAACATAGGTGCCCTGACACCGCCTATGCATGACCAATACAATTGTAGTCGTTCTCTCATAAGAAAATTGTAACATAACAAGACCATTACCACCCTTTTTAGAAACAGTACCAACAAAAACCTTATTTACTATACTTTTTGTGTACCCCCAATCTCAATGATCTGTATCCGCCTACGATTTTGAAAATGCATATTTTTAGGATCCATGTGAATTCCTGGTTCATTCTCTATCGATCGGCAAAAGTTGCGTTAAGATTGGTTCAGAAACCTGGCCGTGATAAACAATCTAAAATGTATCTGCAATTTGCCCGTTTTTACCCCCCTCTACCCCCCTATTGACATTTTTTAATTTTTATTTTTTAGAAATGTAGATCACGTTCAGCGAAATCGAATGCCGTTTGAATTTTGAAAATCGGCCCGTTAGATCTCGAGATATCAAGGGGGGGGGAGGTCGTAAACAGCCCCCCTCCCCCCTGCCACTAATAGGGGTAGCCAGGAGCCTGCCACTAATAGGGTTAAAGTTTCAAAGCGATCGTTCGGTCGGTGTAGCTATGGCGAGCATTCTAACTTTTTCTGGGGTAAGGTCACTTGACCTGACCATAACAACTTGTAACGTCTTACATGTGATGGTTTCATCATCATGTAACATTAGCTAAGTTGAAACACCCTCTGCAGGCCCAAGTGCCAAACCAAAGCCAGCGAGTGATGGCACCATATATCTGTCGTCATTTCAGATGAAAATGACTTGTTGGCCGCTGGCAATGAAATTCAATGAAATACTGGGGAAATATTTTAAGTCTTTATATTCAAACATTGTTTCACCCTTCGATCGATAAATCACGTTTGACGGCAAAAAAGTCTTCGCGATTGAACTACGTTACTTTTTTAAAATTTAGTCCGAACCTTTTGAAAAGAAAGATTCACAGGGACAGAACCCCCGCTAAGCGAAGCTTGTTGCGGTAACCCTGCCCTCTACCCTCCGATCGCGCAATGCCGGTTCTATGGCAGAATTTGGAGTCCAAAGTTTAAAGTGCGCACAGAGCCGCGAACGGCCGGTCCTCCCACTGACTTCGCTTGGCTACGGCCTGCCACAAACCGCAACCATGCCTATGAGGAGGCAGTAAACGTCAATCGCCCGTCGCGCTTCGAACCCGGGCTTTTATAACCTGGAACGCGTGCTCTCACCACGGTGAGTCCAACGCTCAACGACTGAGCTACGGGACCGGCCAATACTTATAGAGCCATACTCCTTAAAATGGACATGGAATACACAACTTCAAAACAAGAAGCGGGCAGTATGCAAACTGCCCAAGCTTTTGGGCGGTATGCATAGTGCCCAAGGGGTCGGGTAGTATGCATGCTACCCGGGCGGTATGCATACTGCCCGGACTGTTGGGTAGTTTGCATACTGCCCAATGCCCATAGCATGTTACCCGTAACATATACCTAACAGTTTGAAGTATGCTGTAAAAATGTGTTATTTTACATTTGTGACCTACTCCTTGAACCCCAATATGTTTGCGGCAGTTTTTTTTCTAATTTACCAAAAAGCCAATGCAGCTTACGTTTGGAGCTCAATCGCATGCCTTTTGCCGCATCAAAATCAGCCCTGCAGTTCTCAAAAAGAGGGCCGAATCGGTGGGCCCTTCGTACAAGTTAGCATACCTACAACAATAAAGTCCACAAGCACAGGTAGAAAGGCTGATTTTTTTCTTAGCAGTTTGAAACAATTTGTCGAATACTCTCTCTCCTCTCTCTTTCTTTTTATCTCCCTCTCTCTCTCTCTCTCTCTCTCTCTCCCTCCCTTCCTCCCTCCCTTCCTCCCTCCCCTCCCTCCCTCCATCTCCTCTCCATCCCTCCCTCTCCTCTCCATCCCTCCTTCTCCTCTCCATCCCTCCCTCTCCTCTCCATCCTTCCCTCTCCTCTCTCTCTGTCTCTGTCTCTGTCTCTCTCCTCTCTCTCTCCCTCTTAGACCCTATCTCTCCCTCCCTCTCCCTCCTCTCTTCTTTCTACTAAGATCAGCCTTGCGCGAGTTCAGTATCACGCGCAGCCAAATGCGGGCATCGAGCTTGGATCCCTTAGGACCCGTGAAAACCGCCCCAAAGCCAATCATGGTCGCGCGTCGTATCCGATGGACAGCAGGTCAACGCTGCGGCGTGTGTAAAGAGCGGCCGGGCTGAGCCGACAAACACCCAGTGTCAAACAGTGCGGGCCAGCGCCAGCGTCACAATGGCGGATCGACAAAACTACGATAGCACGGCAGTGTAATAGGGTGACCTAATGCGATTGCAGGTCACAGGTCTTTTGTTTTTGTTTTTGTTTTTTGTTGGGTTAGGCCCTTTCGGTCCAATGAGACCATTTCACTGCCGGGAGGATGATAGGATATAGGGGGAGACATTGGTCTGGGCAGGCACCCTAGTGAGTCGCCGGGGCTGAGCCCGTCCAGAGGACAGGCCACCCAGCCCCAAGGCACTCACTGCACCCGGCTACGGGGTGCGCTCCCTCAGGAGCAGCGGTGCCGCTCCAAGGGAGCAGCCCGCATGAGATAAAGTTGCCTGTCCAGGCCGGAGGGAGGTTGCGGCGTGGAGGAGAAGGATTTCAGTATCCTGAGGACAGAAGCACGGAACGGTGGTCACAGGTCTGTTGCACAGGATATATGTTGCACATATGTGAAATACAGATGAGATGAGATGAGGTCTGTCAGGTCAATGATATAACAATGTGGGAGGTGGTCGACGCTTTTAGAATACCATTTTGGATTTTTAGTCGCCCTGAATACCTCAATAATTTGGACGACAAGATACCGGATGCCTAGGTAAATAAATAAAAGAGTTGATTCATCACTGACAGCGTTTTCTAAGAAAGGTAGTCATCATATCTGCACTTGTCTCGGTAGTTATTTTTGTTGACACCGACAAAGACATTGACCACCGAAAACCTGCAGCGCTGATTGGAGTTTCAGGTTCCGCCGCGAGACGGCAGCACTATGCCCAGCCCGATGTGCAGTGGCGGCGCTGGCGCTGGTCGCTGGTTGGCGAACGCTCGTTGTCGCTGGTCGCTGGTTGTCGCCCGCTATAGTCGGAAAGCTGCTCTGCTTTTTTCGAGACTGGAAAAACTAGTCCCAAGGTCATTAGCGGTGTAAGAATGGAGCTGGACGAAGCTACTCCTAGGATGGTATTAGTTATTACTAGTATAACCCAGCCCACTAGCTCATGGTGAATGATAAAACTGGACAGAAAGCTTCGTAATAAGACGGTTTTATTTTTTAATAAGGATACCTTTCTGATGGTGGCAAAGCTGGACTACGATGGCTAATGATTACGCTTAACCTATCTGTAGCCTTCAATCAGAAGCTGAGCTGCTTCAATGATTTTGAAAAAAGAGCCAGGCGCCGCTAATGGCAGCTCGAAAAAATAGCATCAAATGATAACTAGCAATGCGACTCATTTGGGTCAGTTGTCAACCTTGCCTTGAGGTCCATTTAGGTCGGGTGCCGTGAGACGCTGACCCGGTCGCGGGTTAACCCTAGCCCTGGCAGGGCATTTTTCATAACACGGCCTGGCAGGGGGGGGGGGTCGATGCGACCCCCCTCGCGATTGGCTTCTATGCCACCTAGAAACACCAAATTTGGTAGGTAGGTGGACCTTCTAGAGTTCTCACCCCTGTGCAAATTTGGTTGCTCTAGGTCAATATTTAGGGGGTTTTTGGGGGGTATAAATGTAAAAATTTCGCTAAAAACAGGTCAAACGTTTTTCGCTTATAACTTTTGATCTAATTAAGAAAGAGCAAAAATAAAAGCACCAGTGAACTCAGCACGTCAAGGCGCGTCGAATGATATACTTTTTAGCTTGCTTAAGTGTGATTAAAGTTTTTCTTAATTTTTAAGTAAACTTTAATTATTAATTAAGTTCAAGTTCACCAAATTGCATCATATCGCATATCATTCGATTCGGCTGATCACCAGGAACACAATGACACCATTTTTTAAGCTCTAGCGTCATTATGTGCCAAGTTATTGGCAAAAACGTCATTTGACCTCAGTTGACCTCATTTGACCTGACCCATGGATAAGTACACCAAACAAAGAAGCAACAAGTGACCTGCTGTTAAGTACTGTGGTTTCAAAGCACAAAAGTGATAGAACGAAGTGGATATCTCCAGTATTTTCCGAATTTAGTATTTTCCCATAGGCTTAACATTACGACGTAATGACCTCTAACTGACCTCAGGTCAGTGACCTCAAAAAACCCAAACTATATGTTATATAACTCGGTGAACTTAGCACATCCTGAAAGTTTGAAGGAAATCAGTCCAAAACTGTGAGTTGGACAGGTGCAAAAAGAAAATTGAAATTTTACCATGACCTTGTATCGGTTTTTCTGACCTGGTGACCTGACCCAAAGTCACCCGGACCTGAAATTTTCAGGTCATATGTAAAAAGATTGCCCCATAGGCTGTGCCAAATTTGGCGGCGCTGCGCGCCGTCGTACTTACGCTATCTTCGAAAACCTTAGGGGGGGGGTCGCATCGACCCCCCCTGCCAGGGCGAGGGTTAAATACCATTTCAACATCAACAAAATATGTGTATTTGAGTCTGGTAACACTTGTTTTCCAACACAAGTCTTTTGCCACACAAACAAAGCGCGTCGTACACCAAACGAGTTTCAGGGGACGTCCCACAAAGTAGTATCGAATGTTGGGCTATTTGGATAGTGAGAATGATCGACATCACAATGACAGCCAGAACGTTACACGTCGAATAATAAGCTGTCGACATTGGTAAGCAGCTCACAAAACACTTAGCGGACACATAATACCACTGATGGCTGCGCTGCGGCGATGGGAGCACCGGCGGTGCGCACGCCCTGATGACACCTGATGACACCCCAGCGCAGCTCCGCGAACGCCGAGAGCCGCCTAACTTATCGGTGTCCAAAGACGGATGAGGGACACCAACAACAGCTGAAAGCTCTCCTTTCATCATTCAACAGCGCGGTTACTTTTCGCTATACTGGAGTTCCCATTTGGCATACATAACAGCCACAATACGTTCGTCCAGATTCGGCAAACGCATAAACCCTGCATTCCAGAGTACACAACTTCCTTCACATAACATCACATACGCGTATAACACAAAGCGTCTCGCAACAGTTTTAAATTTTACTCTTTCATTCAACACATGACATTTTTTTTTTTTTAAATCAGGAAGCCTAACTTGCAAACTCATAGAGCAGCAAGACAATAATAGCTTCTTCATTGACCCAACTGTCACATCGGGAAGTCAATCCACACTCTCAAAACTTCTACGCACATTTGCCGTGAGAGCAGTGCTCGATCACGATTAATCGCACGCATTTTTTTTAAACACCACATTTAGCCAAACATTCTCACTTCATCGCCAACGCCATCACACTATAAAACTCTGTCCTCACAGTTTTCGCGAGTGTGTCAGCGTTATTCACAGATTCAGCTGACCGTAAGCACCTAAAAGCGCTATGCGTAGCCACTGTTCAGTGCTCATCACCTGGCGCTTCGGGGTTCGTATGCCGCCTCACCAATCGCAAGGGTCGTGCGTCACATACACGCGCTGATTATTTGTCCCCGTCACATAGGCCGCGGGAGTCGCATGTCCCATGGCGCTGCTATCCTAGACGGTGGCTCGGAGAGCTGAGTCGGTCTGTGTTTTTTTTTTCTGTGTGCCGCATCTGAGCGCCGGTGACTGGGGTGGGTCTGCGGGGCTCGACGCAGGCCTCCCCCGTCCCAGTCGGCCCACGGATGCGCCGCCATCGGACGCCATTTGTGACAGCAGGCTGTGTGAGCAGCTGCACGCAACAACAGCGCCATGCAGTGGGGGGCGTCGCCGGAAGAAGCCGCACCTCCACAGAAATGTCCCTCGTCTGAAATATGGTTCGGTTTGCCACTGTTCTAACAACGACGCTCTTTTCTTGGCCGATAAATCTCGGTATCGTCCTACTCCAAGGCTGTTAGCAGTGATAAATTGCGGGTGGGATGCAGTTGTGACCCAGGCGGGCGGCCAGAACGGGCGAACGGTGGCGGCGCGGCCGCGAGCTCCGACCAGAATGCGACCGCGCTCGGTGCGCGCTCCATTGCCAATTCCGGCTCGTCAGCGTTGTAACGGACCACGCGCTGCCGTGCCTCACTGTCGGGTTTTCCAGACGGCTTGCGTCAGGAGCTGTCGGAGCTATTGTAGGTCGTTTATCGGCCCTCCCAGGATCTCCAACAGGGCCGATACTGCCCGCAGATGATACCACAGAAATTGAAGCTCGATTAGTTCCATTCAGCAGCACCATTTCGCACCCAGTGATGCACGTCTCCGTTCGTCCGCCCACCCGCTGACGAACTGGAATGACGCCAGGAGAAATTCTCCCCCGCTGCGCCGCCAGTGCCGCCGGAGGAGCCGGGACTTCCGCCGGAAGTCGTCAGCTGTGGACAGAAGGGTGACGGTTTGTGAGTGAAATTGGCCGTCCGCTGCTCTCAGACTTTTAGCGGCACTCTCAGTCGGCGTTAGCGCGGAACGGGTCGAGTTTCGTCGTCAGTCGGCGCGTCTCCAGGTGCACTTCGAGAGAGCAGTTACGATTCGGGAAACGCTGACGAGCTGCGACAGAATGTGGAAGTGGCCTCGGAAAACGAGCCGGTGGGCTCGCGCGAGGACTAAAGTGGGGTCTCCGACACTCAGAAAAACTACCGACTGGGCAATTCAGGCGTTGGCACATCTAAAACCATTTTACTGCCTATTTCATCTTTTAAAACAGAGTTAAATAGCAAAATAAAAGTGCAATGTTATGCGACATGTAAATAATATATGAGAGAACTTTGCAAGCGAGAGACTCGAGAGAGCTCCTATAATTTGACACGGCAGCTGTCAGCTTGAATTCCTCCCGAGAGAGATGGGTACAAAGTACGGCCTGAATAATAGAGGACTCAAGTGCGCTCGTATCTATCACTCTTTGGTAACCGAGAGGGAACATTTTTGATGTTCTGGGCTAAGATTTGCTCACGTTCGGCAATAGATAGGCTGAAGTTTACCATCTACTTCCCTTTTTATTGATTACATCCCGTGTGGGTTGGATCAAAGTATTTTGAAGTCATTAGGTAAAAAAATACCAATTCTTATAGTCATGTTTAGTAACGACGTGTTAATGCTATGAAAAGAAGGCTTTTGTTCCGATAGATAGCGGAACACTTTCCGTGAAATTAATTCTTTGAAAAATTAGCTGACAATTTAATTACTCAACCATGCAAAGTTTCACGAATCTCTATTCTCGGCGCCATGGACAGTGAAAATTGTCGGCTTCTGCAAGCTCACTCAGGCCCTCGGACACGATTGCTACAGGATACAAAGTTGCCCTCTGTTGCTAGTTTAGGTGGGTGTCCGCCATTGTGCTAAGCCGAGTGCTTATGCCCGCTATTGCCCCTGGTTTGGTTGAGAAATGACAACCCTGCCTGCAGTTGCTGGGGCAGGCTCATCACTCATGAGGTAGCGCCTGTGCCCCAGCGATTGGCAGATACTTACAGCACACCATGTTAATAAAAAACATACATTATTATCGTAAAGAAAGTGATGCGTTATGGTCTAGAAAAAGGCATTATGTTGATTGCTTATCACTTTGTTGGACAGGACACTTAACAGGCAATAAATCAAAGACCAAGACCAAGACTAAGACCAAGACCAAAGACCAATGTCCAAGACCAAGACCAAAGGTTTTTTCGGGCATGAAAGGAAATTTACAATTGATGTTTACTATTGTCCCGCTCTCTACCGAAAGCAATCGTAGCGGCACGCATTTCTACGCCAGACGCCACATGTCCCGTTGCCCGGATGCGGCGAGTGCTAACAGAGTATCAGCAGCATCCCCGTGATACTGGAGCGGGATATCGCTGTTACATCTTTCCACACACCTGGATAGTGGATATCTTTTCCACTTCCCAGTCAAAAGCTCTACCCATTCTCTGTGCGCTGTAGTCGGTGCCATTCTTAATAATGCCGGCCTTTCATATGTGCTGGAGGAGCACACCGATTTAAATGATATTATTGGTAGAGTGCACCTGTTTGAGCCAGTGCGTATTAGCTGGGGAACAGCCCGAGCATCGTGCGAATCGGCATGCTATCGATATCGCCTCAAATTGTATCAATCCAGCTTTACTTCTGCATGCCAATCGCCAATTTATTTTGACAGCTATTGATGCACGACCATTTTTTAAGTGAACAACTCATGCAATGGTTTGCTGTTAACACGGAGAACAACAAACTGAGCAATGTGTACACGAGGATGTGTTTTGCATGTTTTGTAATGCGTTTGACAGGACGTTAACTCGCAGTTGTCGCAGTTTTTCTCGCGCAAATTGCTCGGGAATTATAGATATAGTGAGTTGGTTGATCACCAAAGTCGTATATTGCAAAATGCAGCGGCCAATGCATAGCATAATGCTTCAGCGATCTGTCCCAGCCAGCCGGTAAGCTGCCGTTATCTTCCGCCGGGCGGCGCGCGCCTAGCTGGTTATACTGTTCCGCCCAACTGTGGTGTACCGCGGGCTAGTCTACATTCCAGGCCAGCCAGCCAGCCAGGCCGCCGCGCCGCCGCGCCGCGTGTCTTTATTCAATACGGAGCTGGAACACGCAGATCGATGGATTCACCCAATAAAAAAAAAATCAGTAGCACAGTTATATACCCGTACGTATGTACTTGAGACCTTGCCACGCTTATTAAAAATATAGTTTTCAAGATATTGTCAATCAAGTGCAAGAAATAAGTGACAACTTTATTTTTTCTGAGAATGTGTTATTTAATGCCCCAAGCGGCTGGATCAATGGGAAATAAAACGTGGATCCAACTCCGCGGAATGACTGTGAGACCTGTAAATCACTCTAAAAGTTACGTCTACCCGAGGGCACCGTATATCTTTGTTAGTCCAAGCTCGATCCACATGAGAGCGCAACCTTTTCAAGTGGGCCGCTGGGTTGATAAATGCTGCACGCTGAGGGTTTTGATTGTTAGCAATGCGGTCAGTAATGTGCAAGTGGTGGACTAAATTAAATGCATTTCGTGGGCTAGTGTGCTACTTGAGTGGGTTAAGGGCTAACCCACTCAATTCCTTTGAACTCAAAGAACCTTTGTCTTACACTTTGGGTGTCATTTTGAACTCTGTAGAGTACGACTGTATCACATAGGCTTCACACCGTGCACTCAGCTCTGTCCCTATAAGGGAAACCTTCAGCCACCACCTGTTGCGTTCGACTGAGCTGTTATCGATCCCAAAGATAATATATAGTGACAGGTGTTCCCATAAACACCGTACAGATGGGACCCGAAAACAATGAAAGGCTGATCGATTTTCATGACCCAAATGTAACGGCTAGCACTGTTCAGTAAAGCGTAAATTCACAAGCCTCCAGTGGAACGTATATTACTGATCATGATGAGTTGAGGATTATCAACTCATTATTATTATTATATGTATATTAATATTATTATTAGGCCATACATGCACTATAATATGTCACATTACTGATCATGTTTCAGTATGTGTTCGGATCGCTCCCAGTTGTATGTAAGTATATCTGATCCCACTGTACCCGGACAGACAGCAGTGGGACGGACGTCGACCGATGCCCATTCCCCCGGGCACGTGGGGCGCGTGATTGGCTGGGCCAGGCGGGGCCGGCGCGGGACAAAGCCTAATTGAGGCTCGCGCTAGACCATGAGCAGGAGAAATGTCTACTGTACGATTCCTTGCTGGCGCCAGAAGCGTGCCATGACGGATATGTATTTTTAGATATACAAAAAGACAACGAGAAGCATAAAGATGTGAGCTAAGTCTGTTAACATTTTAAAACTACAACCATTTTAAGAATGAGCCTTATTCCATTATCGGATCCATGAAATTGTCAAACTGAAGTGAGATTCTTAACCCGCGCACCGACGGGGGTCTGCGCCAACTTAGTACCGACGGGGGGGGGGCGGATGACCGCCCCCCTGAGATCTCGAGAACGAAGCAAGATAGCGACAAGCGGTAAACGGCGTCGGATACGCACGGTCAAGATCTACAATTTTTACTAAGGTCATTTTCAGGTCAGGTCAAAGATGACGTCACAGGGGTCGAAAAAGTCAAAATGGCGGCGCTAAATATGGAGAGAGTTTTTCTCGAATAACTTTCGAATTAGTCAAGAGAGGAACAAACTAAGGGCATCATCGTGATCCTCTCGTCAATCCGGATCGAATGATATATATGTTGACCTCGAAAGGTCAAGGTCAAAGGTTGACCTCAGGTCACGTGACCTCGAGGTCATCATGTATATCATTCGATGCGTCTTGACGAGCTGAACACAATGAGACCATCCACGCGTCTGTATCTTGTTCCTGTACGGAGTTATTGGCCAAAAACCTTTGGTGACCTTTGATGACGTCACATGACCTCACAGCTGCCCAACAGCAAAACAGACCTCAAGGTAGTGAAGGTTGATCGTATATGAAGTCATGTATGGTATATGGGGCCATTCCGACCCGTTTTAGTGGTAAAAACAGGGAGTTGATTTTTCCCCCATTGACTTATAATGGGGAGGTCGCGAAATTGACCTGACCTTAGGTCACCGATATCAAAATTCCGAGATATACAAATTGTAGCTACTAATGACCTAATAACATCCTGCGACTTTCAAAGGCCTCCGACATCTACTGTAGCTCTGGCACGGTGACAAAGTTGCAAAAAAGTGACTTGAGGTTGGGTCATTCAAAGTGACCTGGTGACCTGACCTTGAAAGGTAGGAGGTTCAAACTTGCACACCATGTGTAAAATTGATAAGGGAATAGTCATACCAAATTTCGCGGCGCTACGCGCCGCGGTTTTCCCGCTATTCGCGAAAAACCTCAGGGGGGGGCGGATATCCGCCCCCCCGTCGGTGCGCGGGTTAAATCTTACAGCGCTAGGAGACTGTAATGAAATTATCAGATAGCAGTCTCCATCCCTGACAATACCTTAGGTATCAGTGTTATTTTCTTTCACAGTAAAACCTGCTGGTTATCACAATTGGCATGTATAATTATGCTGCTCCAAAAATTATGCTGCATAATTATACTGCTCCACAGCCCACTGCTCCAAATCAGTGGGCTGTGCCACGCAACTTTTGTCAAAATAATTGGGTTATGTTTTCTAAGAGGTATGTCCTTATTCCACCCAACCATATTTAACTATTATTTCAACACCACCAGAAACTATGTGGAGCTGCGTACCAAGGATTCCAATGTGCGCCAATGTTGATGGATGACCTCTAAGCAACAGGCGATTACAATTATGGCACAGGCAGGAAGCCGGCCTGTACTGGATCGATCCCGAGCACAGTTCTCTCAAGAGGCCGCCATGACAAATGGTCTCATGTCATGGTATGTTCAGCGCTTTACGCTGACCGGCACAGCCGATCCTCAGCTGACAGCGACTAATTCCAGCCAGACTGATAGCTTCAAATGGAAGAGAACCGGACACTCCGAACAAATGACGTCCGTTTGTCCGAAACATGGCAAAACTTTGACGGTAAATTTACTGAAAAAATACGACCACGGAACTGTCGAGCAACATTGCGCCACTCGGTGACACACATCAGTGAGAGCTGTTACTGTGAGAGACATCCTGGTCTTTACAAGGCTGAGCTGCCGGTTCTATTGGGTTGCGATTCGTGTAGTTGACTAAAAACTAGCTTCATTGTAATTCTTGAAACTCCGTAATAGGTGTGCTATTGGCAATAAGAAGTGCATATATTTGCACTAAGTTGCAGGTACTTGCACTGAGTAGTATTTGCCACTAAATTGTGCTAACTTGTGCATGAATATTGCATATTTCTTACTGCATTCAGACACCGTTTGATACGCTCAGGCACGGTGGTTGACTATATAAGTGAATAAAGATAATGCGATGCTAGCACATGATAACTACTTCATCGACTCGCATAACAATTTCTTTGTCGACTTCTACATATAGTGGAATTTGTGTCAAAATGAAGTTTTGTGCTTGCATGACGTGAAGAGTGCCACGTCTGATGATTCAAAAACATCAGGGACAGATCCATGGTTCATGGGGTCATGATCCCACGCAAAGGCCCTGAACGTCGTATGATTTGACCTCGAAAAGTGGCAGACATAACTGTGGGGTTTGGGGTTTCTACGAAGTTACAGTGTGTCGACTGTCGACTTTCCTCTCCGTACCGCCGAGCACATTTTGCTGCTCCGGTCAACAACAACAGGCCATTACTCCCCAGCTCAACACATCTTTAGTTATACAAAGGTATAGAGTTTTAGTTGACCTTCCCTCAAAAAAGAAGAAATAAATTCATGAAAATTGACAACAAACGCAGGGCTAGACCAGTCATTGAAAATTGACGTAAGCTGCATACGTTATGCTGGCATTTAGCATTGACGAGTGCATAAAGCAGCATTTTCTCGTCTGACCCGCGACCATTGACCAGCCATGAGTTGCAGAGTTATGGTTGACTTCGGTCATCTATCATGATAGTAATGTGTCGAGGTCTGCTCTTTGGACATAGGTCTGTCAGAAAAGGCGTGCCCTGACATCTTCAGTGCGTCTGCGGTATCATCGAGACCATTGTTCATGGGGTCGTAACCTTCAGATATTGTGCTCGCGCCCAGAGGGCTTTGACAGAAATACATTGCTGAAGGGCGTCGCAAAGGAAAGACGGCGCAGTAAAGGGATGAAGAGCGGTGACGTTCCATAACAATATGGCTGCTGGTATAAAATGATGGCCTTTGCTTTTGAGTTATGCTTACGACGCACGTGCATTTCGTATAATATAGCTAAGTTGAATCAATTTTGATATCCTTCTTGATTCAATAAGTACAATCGTATATGCTGTTAAAAGTACGAGTCACTTTCTAATGAAGTGATAGTGATGAAGTGATACGATCCGTCCAATTTATGGTTATACTTATACGCGTGAAGAGGACGGGGAAAAACGATAGCGTTCATTGACTGCCAAGGGTATAACAAAGTAATCAGTCGCAGCTTCGATGCAGCTGTTCAGCTGTTGCAGCACTCTGCCTGGCGTTTGTCCGTACCGTGTCTTGTGGATTCGGGAAATACGTTGGAAAACACTGTCACCTACCCTTTGAAAGCAATCAAACACTCCATTATAAAAAGCAGGCCCGCGTGTCTCTTACCTCCATGCCGATTAGAGCAGCTGGAGCGGAATGTCCCGAGTGACCATGGTCTCCTCTCCGGGCGGCTGGTACGTGTGACTCCTACCGTTGGCCTGTGTGCAGGTCAGCAGGGTCCTGAGGTTGCCCTGCGACCGCTCCTCCTCCGGACTGGCACCGGAGCGGCCCTTGCGGAACAGGCACGGCAGCGCGCCGTGCGCCAGTTCGATAAACTCCTTCCTGAAGTTGTCGTTGAGCCAGCCGTACAGAATGGGGTTGGAGCAGGCAGACGTCATCAGAATCATGTGGCACACGGCGAAGATGATGCGCAGCTTCTCCAGCGAGCCGTTGTACATGATGAGGTCGATCACCAGGTTGCAGACGTTCAGTGGCACCCAGGAGATGGCGTAGATGAGTGAGATGGCGATCAGCAGCGTGTGCGTGCGGCGGGTGCGCTGTTCGCGGCCCTGGCGCAGGCTGGACGTCCGGCTGGCCATCGATGACATGCGGAAGCGCAGCTTCTTGGTGATGCGGGCGTAGGCGATGCTGACGGTGACGATCGGCACCACGTACTGGCAGATCATGCTGAAGATGGAGTAGTAGGCGCGGCCGTTGCGCACCGTCCACTCTTCGACGCAGTAGTGGAACGTCTTGGGCAGTCCCGGCAGCGTCTCGTTGAGTGACGCCGGCAGCAGCTCGCGCACGACGAACATGGGCGATGCCAGGAGCGTGGCCAGAGTCCAGATGCAGGCGAGGATGATGCAGACCTCGACCAGCTGCAGGCTGTTCCTGGTCGGGTAGACGATCACCTGGTAGCGGTCCAGCGCGATAGCCGTGATCGACATGGACGAGACAAACTCGGAGACGCCCGTCAGGCCGCCGAACAGCTTACAGAGGAACGTCGTGTCGCCGCCCAGCGGCCAGTAGCGTGACAGGATCTCCAGCAGCGTCAGCGGCATCGTCACCAGGCAGAGCAGCAGGTCGGACACGGCCAGGTTCAGGATGAACAGGTTGCGCGCCGTCTTCATGGCCGCCTTGCGCAGCACGGCCAGCACCACCAGCAGGTTGCCGAGCGCGCCGAAACAGATTAGCAGCGCGTAGAGCACGATGAGCGTATAGTACGCCTCCTTGCTGACGCTGCGGTTCTCGCGCATCCGCGCGATGAACTCCGGGTCGATGAAGTCGGCGACGGTGACGTTGGGCGGCGGCTCGTCTGCCGGCGCCATGTTCACGATCTCGGTGGCAGCCGAGTCCGGAAGCTCCGTGGTCAACAAGACCGAGGTCATCGCGACGGTGGGTGGTGGCTCACGATGACAGATCGCGACTCAGCAGACCTGAAGAAAAGAGAAAAGGAATCATTACATGGGCAAACATGGGGCTGGTTGTTCTCATCAAATGGTGGCTTTTTTGGGGGGGGGGCAAGGAAGACTTGAGCGATGGGCATCTATGCCAGTGTTAGGCTATTTTCTAGCAGGTTACTTGCGTCATGGATGCACGTGACGCACCAAATGTTTGGCTCAATCAAAATGCAGGTAATAACATCATGGAATCTGATATTGACCAAGGCCCTGATATTGACAAGAGTTTCCGCTATCCTACATGTGCTTCATCCCCTCCCGCCAACAATGCATTCCTTGCCACCCGGGCTCTTCACTGTATGTCGGCTCGGCCGCGGAGGTGCCGGAATGAAAACAGCCGCCTGCTGGGATCACTCCCACTAAATAAATGTTTGCGCACACCGGCTGCTGTTTAGGTCGGAAGACATTAACATAGGCAATTTGGGCCAGACACTGAGGGCCGGCCTAGATACACACAGCTCGCTTCACACGCCACCAAAGAACAGTTTGGGCCTTGGGGGAAATTCGTCTCGTCAGGTTCAGAAGCGCGCCTCAAAAGCATGCGAGCTCAGCTCCTTATAGTTAAGACAATTATAAACTCGATGTGTTTAGCATCAGCAAACTTGAGAACTCGACAAAAAACTTAAGAAATAATGTGGAATAAGTGTTCAGCGACACAAATATGGTGACACATTTTGTTACTTTCTACTTTTGCCAGCGGTGTTCCTTATGCTTTGCTTGGATCACTGCAGCTGGTGTTCGGCTAACCGTCCATAATAGCTTACAACTGAATGTATTGATTGCACTCTGAACAGCCAAGATCCATTGGCAATTGGGCACAAACAGCCTTGTGCTCTTTGACTGACGGATCTGGTAATTTCCAATCAATCAGCTGTCAGAGCCGCTCACAGCACATGCCAAAACGAACATTACAGAATAACGGCATAACTATTCTTCAGTACCGTTGCCATCCTCTATGCACCCCTGACCATCTTTTTACATGTGTGTTAGAAAAAGTTGATTTAGCGGATAAAACACGCTTAATCCTTATTGGAACGGGCGCCGGTGATGCGGTGGAAATGAGAATTGGCTCGTTTAGTGCCGCTGCTGATTGCTCGTTCAGTTTTTCAGACCTGTAGGAAAATGCCGCGCATACAGAAGCCTGTACGAGAAAAAAAAAACACGAAACGGGACTGGTTGGTACCAAGAACGGCTAGGTAAATCTGATTTGTGGAGCAGACAATTTCATTTCGTGCTTTGTAGAGCTAGCTAATTTCAAACACATTAGAGCGGAAATACAAGATCATCATTCATTGCGATTTCCAAAATCACAGGAGTTGTATTTGCATGTGTTTATTGAGGCTAAATCATTTCGAAGCAATATATTTATTTTATACGGTTTTATGCCCACTCAAGTTGACAATTAAGCTACATTTAAATGATGTTTCAATGTAAGTTACGGGTAAATTCAACTTACGCATCATTAAAGCTACACACCATTATGAATCGGTTGACTTCATATCCCATGCTTTTCAAACCGTCGGCGGAAGACGCTGAAAGCCATGACAGAGGATAGCAGTGCACTTTGGCAGTACACCTTGGCAGTGCACCTTGGCAGTACACGCTTCAGTCGGGGATCGGGCGATCGGCAAGGGGGTCAGACGGTGGCAGCGCACAGGGAAACCTGGCGCTTCAGTCGGGGTCCGACGGGCGCCATGAACGGCAAGATCGTTTCAAATTTCACGTGCCATTGACTTGATGGACTAGCTCGGGCTCGACAGGCGAAACGATAAACGTTCCGCCTCCGTCGGATGGTACGGTTTCATTAAAGAGCGCCGCTCACGGCAATTTCGGTATGATGACACAGCCCATTGAACTGTGGGTGACATATGATCGCCATGATCATGGAAGTTGTTAATTAAGCCTAGACCTCATGGGGTGCTCGACTATTTGTCAAGGTGAGGTGTTTTGGTTGTTCACATTGTTGCATGGCTACCCTTAGAAATAGAAATAAGACATGATGCTAGAAATGCTGCACTCATCCACTTCACTGTTACCGTGCCGCTGCAAATCGACTTTGAAATTCGAGACAATAAATTCTAGAAATCAAGCGACTATTTCATTTTGATGTTCGGAAGGCAATTAGCCTAAGTGGGGCATCGTGTGAATTGTACTACAAATTAATATTTATTACGTTATAAATCACAAAGTATTGAGTATTGCATTACCAAGTATTACGTTCTTAACATTACACACCAACAAGGGCGGGCGACAGTGAAACGTCTGCTGCCTCCAAACGCACCGGTGAAACTCTAGTCGACACTGCTGTTATCGTTTTAAGCCAGAGCGAAACCAAGAGAGCCAGTGACGAAAAGGCTTCCTCGACCTCCAGGAAATGTTGCTGGGTCTAGAGAGTTTGTGAGAGTATGATGGGTTTTTAACGAGAGCCAAGTGACGCAGACGGAACAGTGGCCGTTAATTGCTCATTTCCGCAGAGTTTCAACGATGAATGCAATATAATACATTCGATACAACACTAAATGAATAGAAAACATAATATTTACGTTGATTTTATTAGGTACGCTTGAACGCTTGTCCCAAACTCTGAGAACACACGGTACAGTTCTCATCGGCAACCTGAAAAGTGTTTATAATAGTTTTATCCTACAAGGGGACGTGGAAAGTTGTCAGCTTTATTAAAAAAATGCACGACAAAGAACCAGCGTAAGTCAATATTAAATTTTCCTAGCAAATAACGTTGGTCGTCAAAACTGCAAAGACGTTGTTAGGTATGTGCAATATGTATTGCAGGCTGTAACGCTGTCAGTTATTGAATCATGAATTACTATTTAGCATGTTAATCTTGATAAAAATGTTTCAGATTACAGCTAGCATTGAAAACACGAAAAAAGAAGCCTGAAAATCGGCAAGCTTGCTATTTTGTCTCCTCATCAAGTTCAGAAGTTTGGGACGAAGAGACTTCCATCACCAGGAAAACATTAGTAGCGATGATGAAAACAAACTCTCCTTTAATAATTTCATAAACATTAAATTTCTTCTCAAATTTGCTTCCTCTAAGCACACTCGAAGGTAGGAGCTGCTTGTTCAGACTATGTACTTACATATAGGTATGTAGGTCACCAAATGTAGCGAAGTATAACACTTGTACCTGCGTTCGATCATAAAGAAGATTAAAACCTATTCCGTTTCAAAATCTACATTTCGATGAGTCAGACAATTATCAGCAGAAAAGGAGACGTCTACTGATGACCTGATTGATCACTACTTTCGGGATATGCCTCTTGGTTCCACCGGGTTTGCTCGTTGATTGATAGTGACCGAACATGTTGTGTGATTCATTAGATCATGTCAGTGAACAACGATGCTGACATGACATTATCGCTTGCAAAATATATTTTGAAAACGACTTTGGCTGTGGGTCAAAACTGATAAATGTGTTGATGTATGACAAGACATGTTCTTCATTTTACTCATACGTGATAACAAAAGACTCAATTTTGTATACCTTATCGAAAGGAAACCAATAACGTGCAGTGTCCTGAAAAGAGCATTCGTTGACACGACTGATGTTAGTGCTATCCTTGACTTAAGTCTGTCAATAAAAGAGCGGACAGAAAGACCCATTCTTCTACTCACGCCATCGTGTGACAGCGATGCGTGGCCTTCAGCATCGATTTGCAGTAAAGTGAGCGCGCTTATGATGATTGGTGACTGTCACACGTGTGTTTCTAGACTATATTTCTTCAGAATTTTTGATGCTTCAAAACTTTGGATTCACAAACTTTGTCGATAAGGGCATGCGTCTCCAGTTTCTGTATCATTCCCAGAAGAGGGTCACTTTCCAGCCCAACTCGACACGGGCTGTCTGCACCGCATCGAACCGACATTTGATTGGCCAACTTGGTCACATTGGGCGCCGAACTGAGCTCGGCAGTACTCATTTCGAGACGGGAAACTGGCTGTGAGGTGGCGCCGACACCCGTGCCGCCATGGAGGCAGAGGTCACAAGGGTGTCGGTTGCGTCGTGTCAAAGGTCAGAGGGGTGTCGGTTGCGTCGTGTCAGATGTCACGTAGGTGTCGGTTAAACCATGTCAAAGGTCGTAGGGGTGTCGGCAGCGCTGTGTCACAGCAGTGTCAGCAGCGCCGTGTCAAAGGTCATAGAGGTGTCGGCAGTGCCGTGTCGGAGGTCACACGAGTGTCGGCTGGGGCCCGTGCCATAGGCCACAGACTCACAGTGGTGTTTGGTACGTCATGTCAATGGCTATACGGGTGTCGGTTGCGTCATATCGGTGGTTATAGGGGTGTTGGTTGCGTCATGTCAAAGGTCACAGGAGTACAGACTCGGTGAGACGGCTGACCCCAGAATGTCATGGCGACGGGAGACGGGACAGTTTGGACCCGGCGGACTAGGCGATTCCATTATTTCACGGAGGTGATTCCATCATACGAGAGAACTCCTGAGGGAAGTGTCGGTGAGTTTCCGACATATGCAGCATGGATTCACGGGGCTTCCAGCCCCCAGCCGTGGCGAGATGAACAGTACGGCCACGGTACTGCGGTGCGGAAATTTTGAGCTCGAATATCTATAATTTCAACACAGAAAGTATGGCCTACCATTTCATCATTAAAGCATGGAACCTTGGTGAAATGGTCAGTCACATAAGACAAGACACCAATACATAATCTACTCTGACGACTTAGGCTCCACTGTATCACAAAACCGCTAATGTTGTCTGGAAATAAAATCCATCTCCCTCAGAAGCCCTGCACCGGTTAGAGTGTCATTACGGTCGGCTATGGTTTATACGAGCAACCAATCTGAAATTTGGCGGCCCATTCTCCTGGATCACCCGGCGTCCATCATGTGTGTATGCTGCAGTGGCCGAGTGAACCGGGTCGCTCCGGCTGATGCATGGCACCGCCGTCCCGTCCCGAGTTTCCGGGAGCACCGTCCGCGCTGCAGGGAAAGAAGCTCATAGCATGTAGTGTCGGCCGGCGCCGCCATTTGGGCCAAGGCTGGCCGCAAAACGTGCGATTTATGGCCGGCCGGCGGCTAATTCACTGCGCCACACCATCTCGTGCCTCAGCGGTGGGCCTGAGCGCCGGACAGGGGACAGGCCACCGATCACGGGCCGTGCGGTGTGCCGCTCTCACTCACGGATAGAGCTCAACCAGCTGCCGCGGACGGTCCGTCTAGGAACGGAACTGCGCCGCCGAGGCGGCCTCCACTGGAAAGGGCGTCGGCCTTTTTCACAGCTATAACGCGCTGAAGCACTACAATACAACAATACACCGCTTTATTAACAATACACCGCAAGTCAGAAACGATTGCAACAAGTTACTTCTCCGGTGGAGAGGTCATGTGCGGTTCCGGTACACTGCATTTATCGAAAAGGAAATCATCCATATTTCTGCATCCCACGCAGCTCGCACACTTACTTAAGGAGATTATAGATTCCTGTGACACAATTGTTGGTTACAATTGGTAAGATTTCTCGGCGTATACCGTATGGCTTCAACCGGACTCGCGGTTGACGTAGCAGGCGACCACATCGCTAAAATAATTGCAATCGGATGCCAAACAAGTGTATCTAATAACAATACACTGCAAATAATGCTGTGCTCGACTGACGCAATGCGGCCACCATTACGTCGACAATCTGTACGGGCTGTCTATCCGACTGGCGGCGGGCAGGTGCATCCCACATAAACCCAGCCTCGATACAGCTATCGTTCCGATACGGGCCGGGCCTGTGGACAGGGCTGGACAGGGGTGCTGGGTCCAAACACGGCTGGCAGCTCGGCCAGACACCGGCGAGGGGTGATACCGTCAGAGAGGACACGAGAACAGGATGCCACGCTGGAAAATATACAACATTAAGGAGTTATTGCAGTGAGCAGAAAAGAAGGTCTTCTTTTATTTAGCATAATCATGGCGCAACTTATAATGTGCAAATTTATCAATAGAATTATTGTTACTGATTGGCTTGAAATGAATAATTTCTTCCTAGCCGTGTTTCATCAAGCTTGTTTTCTTGGCATGGAGTGGATTTGCTAAGGATAGTTAGCAAGAAGCATATTCATTCACTTTATATCAGAGATGTGCAGATTGCTATCTTCAAGATAAGCAAAAAAGAAGAAAAGAACATTTTGCCAATAATAAGGGCGTTGCAGCTGTGCTGTTTCTAACCATGAAAGCAATAACTAAGACGGATTACATGTGTCAGTGGAACAAATAACAGTAAAGGAAACCCTATCCCAATCTCTGTTATATGCTTTGAAGATGTTACAGCCGAATATTTCTTTCCACAATTAAGCAGCCAGTTAACTTTATTCAGAAGAGTGATGACTGTAATATCATCTTTGCCGGCCTTTCTCTCGATCTAATGCACAGAACCTCTGGACGAATTGAAAAAGCTCCATTTAAATCACTCCGAACTAAAAACAGCTTCAAATGAAACGGAGCGCGCGGATGGTGCCACTCTCAGCGGCCAAGCCCGATATCCCCTGGAGGTAGCCTGTGCCGCAAAACACGGTTTCGCTAACGACAGGTCGCACTTCAAAGCCGCCACTGCCCCGCTGGGATCCACGCCAGGCGCAGGGGAACTCGATTGGCACGGCTCCAAACTCCTTGTTTGTCACTTCAGCGCTGTTTATGTTTGGCTGTTTATGCTGAAGAAACATGCTCTCCTATTTGATTTTCACACCGTCTATTTATGCTACTCCCTAGGCGTTCTGCCGCCATTTGTTGCCTATGTGCAGCTACATATATACTTCACCATAGACTACCAGGTAGACTTCAAATAGCATATGACTTCGCAAATGATACGCCACGTTTTCCGAAGATTTATGTTAGAGAGAGAAACGGCGATATTGGCACGGATCGCTCAGCCGGCAACTAAAGTTAGATTGGGAAATCTGAAGCACAGCAACGCTAGCCTAGAGAGTCAGGTGGCATAATTTTTCCGCAGTCTGTAATAACTATACATTCCCTGGTGTTCCTCATCAGTTTTTAAAAATTCTTTATGATCGCAGAAAGGTAGCGATCATATGAAACATACCCTATGGGGGCCTCCCATCGCATAGAGTATGTGCTATTTATCCCGCGCCCCGCTGGGCTATTCAGCCATACGCGCCCTGCTGGGGGGGGGGGGGGCAGATTCTGCCCCCCCTGTCTAACTTCCGAACCGATGGTCGTAGAAAGACGGGGAAAACGGCAATCGAAAGCTCTCAACAAGGCGGATCTTAAGAGCCCAAATTTTTTTGCTTAAGTAGGTCAGAGGTCAGGTCAAGGTCAGGTCAAGGGTACAAAATGCAAGTTTCTACAGTATCGGCCTTGCACCGTAGTTGCCGAAGAATGGACTGAGACTGATTGCCCAAAACGTGTTCTTAGACTACCAAGACAATATTCGTTGCATACAATGTCATTCAAAGGTCAAGGTCAAGGTCAGGTCAGGTCAGGTCAGGTCACCAAAAACAAAATATAGTAAAGGGCATGTGCGACACATGTTTTATGGGTCATTTTACTCATAGAATTCAATAGGCACACTCAATAAGTGATATGGACCACCTCTGGATGAATTTCAGGTCGAGGTCAGGTCAAGGTCATGTCAAGTGAGGTCAAATTTTGAAGTTGGTTTTTAAGGCCTAAAAAGGTGTCTATCTGATGCAGTTTTTCACGGCGAATCGAATGGTGCTATTTTTGTTTCCGTACGAGGTCTAGAACTTCCAAAAAAAATCATTTTTCAAAATTTTTGTGTGTCGTGACGTCATAAAATTTTGAATAACTCCCACATTTTTGAACCGATTCTTCTCAAAATTGGTATGTAGGTGCACATAGACCACTTCTCTGACATATATTCCGGTTTTTTCGATACACTCAAAATTTTGGATTTTATAACTATTTTCCCAAAAAAGTCAGTTTTTTGAAAAAAATTGGGCCAAAATCCAAAATTTTCAAAAAACCGAGATAGCCATTTAATAGACAAAGTAGAATCACGCATAACCTTTTTTGTTACGTCTTGATTCCTTTAAAAATGAAGATGTTAGCGGCGTTTGAAATTTTGCCGTTTTTGAAGCGAAAATGGCGAACATGACGTCACTAAAACGTCAATTTCTCAAAAATTTTCCGACGGATTTCGCTCAAATTTTCAGGGAACGTGTCAAATTGATGTATGATAAGGTACCGAAAGTTTGACGTCGCTGGCGTAACGCGTTTAGAAGTTATTGGCGAAAAACGGGAGGGGGGGGCAGATTCTGCCCCCCCCCCCCAGCGGGGCGCGGGGTATCATATTGGGGAAGCAAATTGCTTAGCATAACAAAACGTTGCGCGTTTTCTGTACCTAAACCATCGATAAAAGAGGCCAGCGCCGAATCTTTGAAGGCGATACCCGGCTGTGCGACAAGTTTTCACACTTACCGGTCTTCCCTGTTATCGACTTTAGATCTGCAGCAGGGAGCGGGTCCATTTGTCGCTCGGAGACGCCCTTGGCACCACCCGAACGGCCCTAGGTAGCTAGGTAGCAGGAACACGACGGTCACAAATTCCAGTTTGGCGTTCACATGCTGGCGATATTTCTCCGCTTCTTATCCATGTTTATGCTTAGTAATTTTCAAGAATGGCATATTTGGGTAGCAAAGCAACGCCAGGGGTTGAGTGGGAAAGCGGCGTGAGTTGTTTACGGGGGATGGCGAGGAGAGGAAATTGGCAGGGTGCGTGTGAAAAGAATGTATGTGTGCGGTTGCGTGTGTGTGGGCGAGAGAGAGAGAGAGAGAGAGAGAGAGAGAGAGAGAGAGAGAGAGAGAGAGAGAGAGAGAGAGAGAGAGAGAGAGAGAGAGAGAGAAAGAGAAAGAGAAAGAGAAAGAGAAAGAGAAAGAGAAAGAGAAAGAGAAAGAGAAAGAGAAAGAGAAAGAGAAAGAGAAAGAGAAAGAGAAAGAGAGAGAAGAGGAAGAGAAGAGAAGAGAAGAGAAGAGAAGAGAAGAGAAGAGAAGAGAAGAGAAGAGAAGAGAAGAGAAGAGAAGAGAAGAGAAGAGAAGAGAAGAGAAGAGAAGAGAAGAGAAGAGAAGAGAAGAGAAGAGAAGAGAAGAACAAAGCCGGCGAGGCTTTATTTACAGACTACTTCCTCATCACGATAAGCGAGGATAACGGGGAAAGTCACAATCTGAGTATACTCGTATAGGATAATTATACATATCAATGACATTGACCAGCGATACCTAATACGACTTCCTGAAACATCGCTGATAGATACTTCACAATCCAGATGATCAAATAAATGATGCAATTGTGTGACGAGTTCAGTCGTGAATAAACACATTGATTAACAGAAGTCGTGTCATAGTCAAGCAGCCGCACCGCGTTCACCACAATCATCCCATGCTCCCCGGACTCTGAAAAGCGCGGTCGAATTGCGCTGCAAAGCTGCTCTTTTTTATACGCTTGACGTCGTTGCACCTGCAAAAGCGCGCTAACACTCACAAATAGTTATGCAAAATCGTTAATGCACATTTAAACTCATTAGACACGACTGATCATTGGACGGTGTTAAAATGCATTTGACGAGCGACACCTACGGGGTCGTGCGGCAAAAACTTTCTCTGTCCGCGGGCGCCACTGCAGCGACACCTGCCGTGTGGCTCCAACACTATTGGCTCAGTCTGTGCGCCCACGCCGTGCCGCGAGCACCGATCCTACACATTGTTCAGCGTTCTTGTCTTTCCGATTGTAGTTGGACCACATCTGGTGAGTTCTCCCCACGTGGTGGGTGCATTACGCCGAGATGGCCTGGCTGGGCCGTGGTGTCGTATGTTTATGTTCGCCCAGTGGGCTCGCGGCACTGGCAGCCGGCTCTCAGTTAGGAACTGCCAGACCAAAGTACCAGTCGCTGGCTGTTTTATTTTTTTTTTCTATCATTGCCTCTAGGGCCCTTGCCGCAGGTTCCTGCACCACCGACAACTGTGGTGTCCCCTACGGCCGCAGGGGCGCGCCGCGGCCCGCGATCGCGTCGTCGGCCATAGCGCGTTTGCGCCGGCGACCGTATACGCAGTTACGCTCGTGCCGCAATTCAGGGAGTTACGTCTTATGCTGCCACCAGACTGCTAGCCTCGTATCTTGTTGTATTCATCGCCCTGTCCACGCGCATGACCTAATGTCTCTGTGCACCCAAGGCCAAGCCACCCTGACGCCATCTTGGCGGGTCCGAGCAGCAATCGTGTGACCTCTGCCCAGCGATCGCGTGATCGTGACGTCAGCGGTAGGTGTGGACACCTCCAGCGCTGGTGGCGCCGCGGCGGCAGCGACAGCAACTGCTGGTAGCCACGTGGCCGCCAGCGGCGCAGGCGCGGGCGTGTCATTACGTAACCGTCATCCGCGCCGTGAGGCGGCCCGGGTGATTCACCCGCCGTGACGTCAGCTGACCGTGACCGTGGCCTAGCGGCCTTTGGCCCGGCGACCGGACCGCAGGTCCGCAGCTGATTGGGGGTCGTCTTGCACCGGGTCTGCAGCGGGCCATCTGGGCCGGAGTCAGGTCACTGCTGGCTGTATGCCACTCTGTGGGAAGCAGCGTTAGTCGGTCACAATTTGGCCAGACGTGTACGCAATCGTGTATGCCTGAGAGGCAGCGTTAGTCGGTCACAGATTGGCCTGACGTGTACGCAACCGTATATGCCTGGGAGGCAGCGTTAGTCGGTCACAGATTGGCCTGACGTGTACGCAACGGTGTATGGGCTGGAGTCAGCTCACTGCTGGCCGTATGCCACTCTGTGGGACGCAGCGTTAGTCGGTCACAATTTGGCCAGACGTGTACGCAATCGTGGATGCCTGAGAGGCAGCGTTAGTCGGTCACAGATTGGCCTGACGTGTACGCAACCGTATATGCCTGAGAGGCAGCGTTAGTCGGTCACAGATTGGCCTGACGTGTACGCAACGGTATATGCCTGAGCTGCAGCGTTAGTCGGTCACAGATTGGCTGGACGTATACGCAACCGTGTATGCTATATCGGTTTCGTCCGCGTCCCACTCTGGGAGCGTCCAGGGCTTACGTAATTTGGTTTTTCTCATTGCAGGCATGCTCGTCGTAGGGGACAGCTATGCTGTCCACCTCCCCCGCCGCTGTTCGCCCCACCTTGCCGTGGCGGCGGCCGGTGTTCGCGGAGGCTGCGTCAATGACGACGGCTTCAGGCGCTGGGCCATCCGGGCCGCAGTTCGTGCCCGTCCTCGCGTGGTCACGCTCGTGGCGGGCGGAAATGACCTCGCCAGAAGGGACTGCCGCGTTCAGCGGTGGCTCGCCAACCTCCAGGAACTGACGCTCGGGCTCCTGGCAGCCGGAGTCGTTCGCGTCTATGTGCTGCCCATCCCTCCGCGCACAGGCTTTCCATCCAGCGGCGTGTCGGCGCGAATTTTCCGGCGGCGGCGCTGGGTGGCCAACAAACTGTTGCGCCGCCTTTTCCGCCAACCGCCGGTGCTCCTGCTCCACTTTGTGCCGCCACCTGACTTTCTGGCGTCGGATGGGGTTCATCCGTCCGCGGCCGGGTGGCGCACCCTGGAGAGCGTGCTACAGGAGGCTATGGACGCCTCCTCCGGGATTTAGCGTGTACCGGGTCGCTCCCGTGCTGTGTCGTGTGTGTCCCCCCCCCCCCCCCTCCTAACCGGCTGGCCGTTTAAATACACATTCCCGCTAACATCGTCGTCTATTTTCATGCATTCGGAGCTGCTATGTCACGGGCCAAGTCGTCGGCGGGCCGTGCCCCGGCACGCCCCCTGCCAGCGCCACGGACGGACGCGCCGCGACGCGCCACTACGAGACGCTCCGCGGCGGCCGCGGCCGCGTCTGGCGCTGGTGCCACGAGCCGCCGCCCGCCCGCTGCTGCGGCGAGGCGACAGGCCGCAGTGATGGCCACCACTCCGCCCAATCCAGGGCGGGGCCATGCTGCTACAACGTCGGCCGCCGCCGCCTCGCCCCCTGACGCCGCGGTCATCGACCCCGCCGCTCTTCAAACAATGGTGGGCGACATGGTCCGGGCCGCCGTCGCCGCCGCTCTACCTGCCAGCGAGCCATCACCGCCGGCGACGGTCGCCGTGCAGCGCGGTCCGGCACAGCGTCTCCAGGATGGGCCAGCTGCCCATCTGACGTCCGCCGACCACGCCTACACGCCGGCTGCCGAACTGCAAGCCGGGCCAATGGCGCTCCCGGCGGTTCTCTCCGGCGCCCCTCCGACCGCCGCCGGCCCTGCTCCACCTGCGCACCTGCCAGCGGCGCAGTTGCCCGTCGCCGGCCGTCCGCCGGCGCCGGTGGAAAATTGCCGCAGGTGACGACCTAGCGGCCCGCGCTGCCGTATCCCCCGCGGTGGCGGCCCTCATCGTGTCCCATCAATTCATTGACCTAAACACTCTCCTCAACGACTCTATCCCCCCGGCAGAACCAGGGCTGTTTTGCCTTATCGACGGCCGTCTCCGTCCCTCGGTACAGCGCCGCCCAATCCCGCATTTCGGCGCCTGGGCCACCGCGTTTCTTCGATACGCGGCCGTGTACTTGGCTGCCCACCCCGCTGACGCCTCCGGTCTGTTGCGCCACATGCAACAAGTGTCCTCGCTGCAGGCGCCCGGCCTTGGATTCGCGTGGCGCGATTTCGATGAGGCCTTTCGGCGCGCACGGGGCCTCTGCCCGGAAGCTCACCCATGGGGCTCCACGGCGGCCACGTCTCCCATTTGGCTCACCGCAATCGCTCGCGGAATCGCCGGTTCTCGGGCCGGGTCTGCAGCCGGTGTAAGCGGCGAGGGTCGGGGCGGCTCTAGCCGGCCGGCCGCCGCGTCTGGCTCTTTTCGCGCGCTCTGCCTCGGCTACAATCGCGCCGCCGGGTGCCGCCGGTCCCCGTGCCTGTTCCGGCACGAGTGCCGCCTCTGCCGTGGCCCCCATAGCGTGCTCGCCTGCCCTCGCCGCGCCGCCCCAGCCCTCCCCGGCACCCGCCGCCCCGGCCGCGAATGACTCCCTCAGCTGCGGCTGCCAGCTGACAAGCTGGCACGTGCCAGGGCAGGCCTCACGAGCCTGCTGGCCCGCCGGACAGCGCCCCTCCGCATGGTCCGTGAATGCACGGGGCTCCTCAGCTTTGCGTGCACCGCAGTGCCACTCGGTCGCCCGTTCCTACGGCGCATGTTCGACTTGTGTCGCGGCGTGTCGCGCCCTCACCACCGCGTCACGATCACCCGGGCGGCCAGACAGGATATGCGCGCCTGGCTGCTGTTTCTAGACCGTTTCCCAGGCCGCGCGATTCTCGCTCACCGGCGCTGGTTGTTGGAGCCGGGTCTTATCCTGGAGACGGACGCCTCCAGCTCGGTCGGGCTCGGTGCCATCTGCGGCGAGGACTGGCTCCTGGGGCCGTGGCCCGCGTCCCTCCGCGAGGCCCCTATCAGCGTTTTGGAACTAGTGGCTGTCGCTGTAGCCGTGCACGTGTGGCGAGATCGGTTCGCGCATCGCTGCGTCCTTGTGCGCTCAGATAACTCCGCTGTGGTGGCCTGTATAACCTCTCAGTCATCTCGCTCGCCTGCCCTAATGCCATGGCTCCGATTCCTTTTTCTCACCACCGTCTCTCATAACATTCTCGTGCGTGCCGTGCACATACCCGGCATCGCCAATGCAGCAGCTGACGCCCTGTCCCGCGGTCTTGTGCAGGTCTTCAAGGAGCTCCGCCCGTCCGCAGCAGCCACGCCGACGTCCTGGGACTGGCCGGCCTGCGGCACGCTCTCACCGTTCACCAGCTAGCTGGTGCCGCGCTAGCTCCTGCCACCATTCGCTCTTATCGAGCAGTGTGGGGCCAAATCCGCGTTTTCCTCACTCTGCCGCCCACTGCTGCCCTGTTTCCCATCTCAGTGGCCGACACTGCTGATTTCCTGGCCTCTCGACACGAGCAGGGCTGTTCCGCTTCCACCCTCGCCGCCGAGGCGTCTGCCATCTCCTACGGCCACAAGCTAGCCGGCGCGCCGGATCCCACGGCGGACTTCCGGGTGCGACAGCTGTTAGCGGGATCCCGCCGGCTACGGCCGAGTGCGGACAACCGCCTCGCCGTCTCCCTGACCGAGCTCGGCGAGCTCTGCGCCGCACTCCATTTCCTAGGCCTCTCCCCGGTAGACCGTGCTGCATTCCGTGCCATCTTTACATTGGCTTTCTTTGCTATGCTTCGCCCGGGCGAGGTCGTGCGCGGCCGAGACCTGACCCACACAGTCCGACTCAGCCACGTGAGTCTCGTCGGCCCCCAGCTTTCTCTCACCATTCCATCCTCAAAAACGTCGGCCTCCCCGTTCACCACCACGCTTCGAGCCCGGCCTGATCTTGCCACGTGTCCGGTCGCCGCTGTCCGCGACTACCTCGCGGTCCGCGGCACGGGCCTTCCTGATGACGCACTGTTTATCGGCGGCCATCGCCGCCCTCTGACATCGCGCGATCTCACTCGCGTACTTCGCATGGCGGGCCGTCGAGCTGGTCTCAACCCAGCCCGCCTCTCCGGGCACTGCCTTCGCATCAGCGGCGCCTCCCACGGCGCCGCAGTCGGACTAACGGAGCCCCAACTCTGCCACGCCGGCCGCTGGTCGTCCCAGGCCGTGCGGCGATACGTACGGCGGCCGGTCTCCCTCCTTCAGGCATCCTAAGCGGCGGGTCCCGTCCAAAGAGGGTTAACGTTGCCGGCCTTCCACCGCTACCGCTCCCAAACCCGAGCCACAGCTGCCCGTTCTAGGTCTGGGTGCACGGGCCGCGCCCTAGCAGGCGTAGCGGCAGTCCCGACGCTGCCTGTTCAGGCCCGGGCTCCCAAACCGCCGCCCTCGCAGGCGGAGCGGCGGCGTCCTTGGCCACCTGCCTGTTTTCGGTCCGGGATCCCGGACCGCCGCCTTCACGGGCGAGCGGCAGTCTTGTCAGCTGCCTGTTTTAGGTCCGGGCCCCCGGACCCCCGCCTCACGGGCGGAGCGGTAGTCTGTCAGCTGCCTGTTTCAGGTCCGGGCTCTGGGACCGCCGCCCTCGCCGGCGGAGCGGCAGTCCCAACTCCCCGGCTGCGCGCCACAGTGATGTATCTGTATATATGTAACGTCGGGCTCGCGTGTTCATTGTTGGTTTAGCTCGCCCGCACAGCTATAACCCAGATGAAACTGCAGTTTCTACGCCACAGCCGCACCGCCGACGGTGCCATGTTTGTGCGTCGCGTGAGGTGAATTACGCCGTGCGCGGCATGTCATGTCCTCTGCCGTCGCGTTATCGCCACGTCTGTTAATCCAGAGGCATCCATCGTTTTCCATTAGCTTTCTGCCGCCCTGGCAATTTTGTTCATAGCGAATGCCTCTCCGTTCCGCGCGGGTGCAGATGGGGTGTTGGGCGTAATCTGCACCCAAAGTGCATGACGGGTGTACAAACGTACGAATACACAGACCCATATTCATCAGTCATGCATTTGCAAGCGCAGCGGAACGGAGAAATGCATTTGACGAGCGACACCTACGGGGTCGTGCGGCAAAAACTTTCTCTGTCCGCGGGCGCCACTGCAGCGACACCTGCCGTGTGGCTCCAACACTATTGGCTCAGTCTGTGCGCCCACGCCGTGCCGCGAGCACCGATCCTACACATTGTTCAGCGTTCTTGTCTTTCCGATTGTCCACCGCCACCCCGCCGCCGCCTGTGGTACTGTGTTTCCATGCATTGCTGGCTGTGTAAGCGTAATCTGCACCCAAAGTGCATGACGGGTGTACAAACGTACGAATACACAGACCCATATTCACAAGCCAGGAAGATTTACTTCAGCCCCACACAGGCGAGCGATTCAGCAGTAAATATACAGCGACATGCTTTCAAGAGATATAAACAATGAAATGAAGAGTGAAAGGAAAAAACACGCTAGGCGAAAGCAGGTTGTTTACCAATCGAAAGCGTGAGAGCTGAAATGCTCTGGAAATGTTAATAATGATATATGAGTTAAGTAATGTCATCTGAGCTTCAGCGCGCACAGTTCAAGAAACGCCTCGTTATTGGTTCATGCACCGCCACCGCTTCCAGCATTGTGTTACTTTCATAATAATTTTAATCAGGTGTAATAAATTAAAGCAAGGCCAACGTGCTAGGTCTACGCACTGATGGCCACGGGGGCTGACTTGCTTTTGTCATTCATTAAGCTTATAGTGCATGGGAAGCGAAGAGAAAGTGGGCACTGGACCATCACTTTGTGATATCTTCACCGCCCTTTTCCGCTTGATTTTAGCCGCCAGTGGATGCATACAGCATTGGGTTATAGCAAATGGCATACAAATTAGGCAAGTGTACAAACAAATGACACCATTAAGTTGTACATAGATTAAAGTCACCATTATATTGGCGTAATTTAAGCACGATGCGATGGTTGCTAAATATTCATTCATACGTGCCCGTCCGCGCTCGCCCTATCGGCCTATCAGAAGTCGGGCACGTCAAGTGGTTTCAGCTCCTCAGTGGGTCGGTCCTCTTCACTCAGCAGCGCTCAGCATTATGCATGCCATTCATTGATCTGTGAGCCATTGAAGCATTCAACTAATATCATCAGAACTTTGAAGTTAATCTCAGGAGCATCGGTCGAGTTCAGTGAACGCTACCATAAATCTATAGAGCTAGCGATGGTCATTTGCATATATTGGTGACGCGCACGAGACCCGAAGTTTTGAATTAGATGGATATTTGAGCGGTTTACTGCCATATCTCGCATGTGCATTGTGCAACGCCTCAATTGCCTCGACAGTCTGTTATGACACTTGCAAAGGAGATGCGCATTGCGCAAACATCGCGCATGCAGCATTTAGACACCACGACATAACTCGGCATTCGTAATTCTTTGGGTGCTGCAGCGGTCGTAGCAAAAACACTGAGTACGATCAACTCAATCGTTGTTGAATGGCCATCCGGCAGCGCACTAACAATTGCTAGGTGAAGGATATTTGAGCGGGCATCGGGAATTTTCAGAACAAGTAACATATACAATTATTCCTGAATTTAAATAGCAACACTGCAACAATTAACATTGTATTTAGCCGCAAAAAGTTGGTCCTCTTAAACGTTTCATAAGGCTGGGACGGAGATAAACGCGTCCTGAAAGGCTGACGTGGTATTTGCACCTTATTCGTATAATGAAAACTCACCAGCGCATAAAACGATAAGCTCCTCAATTTTCGTTCCCACTACCGGCTTCAAACAAAATCCAAATCAGTTAATGGAGAAAAAGCCAAAATATCCCACTCATATGACCTAATGAACTTGCAAATATTGCAATTAGAAAATTGGATTAATTTGCTTTCACCTACTGACGGATAGTAAAGAATCCTCTGAAGTTCTTTGAACAGCAAAACCGGAGTTGAGCTTATCTTAGACATCTTCCCAGAAAAGAGCAAACTCGTTTTCTTTAAACGGATGAGTGGCGTAATAGTGATAGTTGGTGAACAAACGATTGTTCTCTTTAGAGATTCGGGAAAACCATGCTTATCATCGCTTGCATTTAAATTTGCTGCCGATGCAAGCAACTAACTTTCCATAGTACTTATGTAGTATAACAACTATTCAATGCTTCATCCTTTGGCTTCTACGACAAATATTCGTCTGGACTTGGAAAAAACCTTCGCGTAGCAGTTCCCCAGCTAAATCACAGTCCGACGCTCGGGTCAGCTGAGGGGGCCGGGATGTCGCCCCATGCCGGCGGCAATCAGGCCTGACCACCATCGGTTGGGTATACCGCCGGTCGGCGATGGCCATCCGGTAATGAAGGGGCCTCCCGACACGTGTCGTGCCTGAGCCGCGGCCGCAGCCATGCCTCGCGCGCCTCTTTAGTGCCGCCGCTGAGCCGGGTCGGATGGCGCGAGCGAGACGCGCACGCCGCACCCGTGATCCCCACGTGCCACGGAATACCGGCACTCATAGACGGGATCGGATTCCGGCGCGCGGCACTGTCACATCGTGCGAGCCCCAAGAGAGATACGATAATTAAAACGAAATTTAGGGCATCGAGTGAGAAAGGCGACCGGCCAAATTCCTGAGAGTGCCATCTCGTTTCTTGGATGAGTTTCATTATTTACAGAGCAGCATTGATGCCGTGGACCCTCACGTCCGAAATTAACCGTCGTCTTGAATTCTGTCATGAGAGTGCAAGGGAACAACGGAATTCTTTATTTATGGGCGGCAGTAAATTTCGTTATTCGTTTATTAGTGTCGGTTACTGAGACTCGCTGTCGGACCAGAGATAAGGTCACCAGATACAAACGACAGTCCCTGATAAAATATTTGCATCTCTTTCAGTTTCTCGTAATAGTGTTTGAAGCAGAAGTCCACATGAGGGTGCGCACTGCACGAGCAATGTCTTACGTCGGCACTAGAGAACATACGCCACTTCATTCTGTGACCTCATTCAGTCATGTGCAATTGCGTAAAATATCGCCCATGCTCCAAACTTATCGCCCTATTTTCGAATCAGGGCTTTTGAGAACCTGAATATTGAACCGAAACTAGTTCAGGTGTTTCCTACAGGCACACTCTTGAATGGCTAATGACCGTGCCCCATAGAGCTCTTCTTCTTACACCATACAGCGCTTTTTGCGCACATAAAGCACGTTCAAAATACCGCAATACCATAGGCGGCGGAACGGGGAGGGGACCGGGACACCGTGCCCCCTTTGATTTTGGGCATTTTAACATTAGCCCTATGGGCGTTGCATGGAAAGAATGGGACCAAAAATCGGCAGTGCCCCCCTTAATAGACGTGTTGCGCTATGCAAAAATGCCACTTTTTTCGCACGTACTAGATGCTATTTGATCTGAAAACTCCAACGGTGAAAAAATCAGCTTGATTCGTGAAGTTCAAATGCCTTAAAAATCGGTTTAAACGTCAATTATTATCACGTGACTAAATAACGAGCGTTGATTGGTCGTGACGTCACGATTCGTATCCAGCGAGCCCGTGAAGGTTGGCTGCATTTAGTGTTGGTCGGCGGACGAAGGTGAATCTTTGTGGAAGAAAGATGGTAGGTACCTACAAAGCAAAATAAAGTGGTGTATTACTCCAGGATGTACTAGTAGGTACTTCATCCTCAACACCTGATAAAGTGTTTGTTAACCCGCGCACCGACGGGGTTCGCGCCAACTTAAAACCGACGGGGGGGAGGGCGGATGACCCCCCCATGAGATCTCGAGAACGAAGCAAGATAGCGACAAGCGGTAAACGGCATTGGGTACGCACTAGAGATGCCCCAAATTTGCAATTTCATTACCCGCCCCGCCCCGCAGCTACCCCTTGCCCAACCACAACTACCCGCAAGCTGATTTTGGCTGAGCCGAACCCGCAAAAAACCCGCAATCTTAAAAACATACTTTTGCAAGAAAAAAAAATACAGCTGAGTCAATGCTAGAGCTATATAAACCTTACTTGCTTCATTGCTGTGCAGAAAAAGACAGCCAAACAAATAGTAAGGACTTGAAATTGTTATGCTAAGTCCTCAGGAAGTGCACACTGGATAGTGGAAAATGAATAATGCATCAATACATTTGAAATTCCTTTCTGAAGAGTTCAGTAAAATCTTTCTCTCACCTTACCCTTCAGCATTGGCTGAGGATCAAAATTTCACTCTGGCTCCCTCTCAATGTTAGGCCTCTGGAATGATATTGTTATCAAAATGAATGTTGATATAAAAAGATATGCGATTTCCAGTTAAAAATAAATAGTGACACAGTGAATAATGAGTATCCAGTCGATCTACACATAAAACAAATCATGCAAAATCCCAGCAAAAATCAACTATAATAACATACATGGCCTTGCAACTAACCACCAATGAACCACGCATTTCTGGAAACATGCGTCAGAAGCGTCACCAACAGCTGATTGCAGGGAATGTTACAGCGACTAAATTATTGCGGCCGTAGTTAGTCGAACTTGTTGCGAAAACACTGTTGTATAATGCATATTCATGTGCCATTCTGATTAAATTATTTTACACAACAGCTAAAGTTTTACAATTCAGAGGTTAATCACCGGTTTAGAAATAAAGAGACAGTAAATGCTAAATTAAATGTAATGATTTTATAGATGGTCTTGGTAATGCTCTCCGGCTGGTCATCTGTCGGCATACAAATGATAAGGACGTAAAAAGACAAAAGAAATAAATGCGACCAGCTACGTGGTTTTGTAACATGTATAACTGCTATTTTGAGGCATTCAAAAACCAAGACAGAAAAACTGATTGAAAATTATTGCGTCATCAATGACAGCTTTCCTTCGCCTCAGAGACCAAAATTGACGCAGTCAAATGCCAATCCTTGTCAGAATGTCGGAAGTGCGCCAGTATTGTATTGCGTTATGTTTGGGCCGGCCGGTCTATATTTTGATTTTTTGTAAGGGTAATTGGTGTGTTATTTTCGTAATATAGGGTGGAACAGAAC